TTGCCAATAGCTCTCGGTCATATGGTGAGTACTTTTGTTGAGAAGGGCTGAGTTTCTGGGAAAAGAATGCTAAAGGTTCCCATGCACTATTCTTAAATTGCTGAAGTACTGCACCAATAGCTGTATCAGAGGCGTCTGTGACTAAAGCTAGCTTACATTCACAATCTGGATGAGCTAACAGTGCAGCGTTCGAGAGACTTTCTTTACAGGCTTCAAAGGCTTTCAATGTGTCTCCAGTTAAATTAATAGGACTAGAGCCTTTAACTGAACCTGCCAAAAGAGAATTAAGTGGAGCCTGGATTTGGGTAGCATGAGGCAGAAAACGCCTATAAAAATTTATCATGCCCAAAAACCTTCTAAGCTGCCTTACATCTTTTGGTGGAGGAAAGTCCTTGATCGCCTGCACTTTAGTATCCAGGGACCTAGTACCTTTTTCGGAAATTCGATAGCCTAAAAAGGTTACTTCCGATACGCCAAAGACCGATTTTGCAGTATTAATTACAATGTTGTATTCTTTCATCCTGGAAAAGACAATACGTAAATGCTGCTCGTGTTCAGCTTCAGATTTCGAGAAAATGAGAAAATCGTCCAAATAACAGTAACAGAAATCCAATCCCCTAGTCACCTCATCAACAAATCTTTGAAAAGTTTGACCTGCATTTCTTAAACCAAAGGTCATATACGGAAATTCGTATAGACCAAATGGGGTTGTAATGACAGTCTTCGGTATGTCCTGAACGCTCACGGGTATCTGATTATAGGCTTTAACAAGATCAATAGTAGAAAACACTTTACATCCAGAAATGGAATGAGTAAAATCATGAATATGTCTAATCGGATACTTATCAGGAATCGTCCGTGCATTGAGCATACGGTAATCTCCGCAAGGACGCCAACCGTTATCTTTTTTCGGAGCTAAATGTAATGGCGATGCCCACGGACTCTCTGAAGGCCTAGCTGTGCCATTAGCTAACATGGACTCAAACTGTTGTTTGGCAATTTTCAACTTGTCCGGAGCAAGACGCCGGGGATTGCAATGTACGGGTGGGCCAGGTGTTGTGCGTATGTGATGAACTGTGTTGTGTGAAATAGTCCTATGTACCCCTGCTGGTCGTGTAATTTCAGGAAAATCAATTAAAATATTATGAAATTTAGAATTTCCTATCAAAACTTTTACAGACTGTATTGTGTTGGATGGGTGTGAAAGTGAAGCTGTAGCGGTGAGTGTAGTAGTATTGTCTACTAAACGTTGATTGTGACAGTCAACCATTAAATTGTAAAAGGATAAAAAATCTACACCTATAATACACTTTGTTACATCAGCGACTACAAAACGCCATGGAAACTGTCTACGTAGTCCTAAGTCTAGGTTTAAATGTGCGTAACCGTAGGTATCGATGACGCTACCATTAGCAGCACGCAGTTGATAATTGGTCTTGGGCCGACGTTGTCGTAGTAGTGATCGTGGAAAGACGCAGAGATCGCTTCCGGTGTCGACGAGAAACTGAGTCTTTGTATTCCGATCCATAACGAAAAGGCGACTACAGGAGGTTGGGCAATCGCTGGTCGCCGCTATCGATTGCCTTGTTAGTTTTCCTGATTGTAATCGCATGGCTTGATACAATTGTTAGCTTTACTACCAAACTTATGGTGATACCAACAAACGGGAAATTTCTTATAATTAGAATGAGACCTTGATGCTGATCGGCTACGTTGAGGCTTCCTAGATCTGGAGCGCTGGTGACGATTTAGTTGCATGGTAAGTGACTTTACTTGCCTGCGCAGCTCCGCTATTTCATTCGCCATATGATTGCTAGAACTAGGTCCTGCAGCTGCATCATCACGAGCTGTCGCTTCAACTTGAGGTGAACGAGATGCGAGATCCATAATTCTATCTGCTAGATCCGCTAACACATCTAAATCTGTGTTAGGTTGTGCCACAAGGATGGTCTGAATATGAGCAGGAAGACGGCTGGTCCAAATTGTTTGAAGAAATTCATCTGGTACCTTTGGTCCGGCTAAGCTCTGCAAATGCCTTAAAAATTGCGAAGGCTTGCGGTCGCCTAGCTCCTCATGCATTAGCAGTTGTTTCACCTTCTTCTCTTTGGATGCACTAAGGCGCTTAATTAACTCCAATTTCAGCTTTTCATACTTTCCCTCTGCTGGCGGACTGATAATAATGTCTTTAACTTCTTTAGAAAACTGATGGTCGAGTTTTCCGATTACATAATTAAATTTTGTTAGATCGCTGGTAATTTTTGAAATAGCAAATTGGCTCTCGACTTGAGCAAACCATATCTCTGGCTCTTCTGGCCAAAATGGTGGAACTTTAATTGCGACTTTAAATACCTCTGATGACGTGTCGTCTCGTACTGTGGAAACGGTGCCGCTCTCCGTCATTTTTTCTTCCAAAAATCGATGAATGAAAATGTTCAAAAGGGAGTCACCAGTGTAGAGATGTAGAGATGTGGGCTTGATGATATTTATATATATAAATTCAGAAGGGGTGAAAGAAAGAAAGATTTAGTACGAGATTGTATAATTAATAATATTTACAGTAAATAATTCCAGATATAATAAGTCGCGATACAAAATATAGTTCGGTAAAATTGCTAAGACAAGGAGATTGTCAAGAACGTCACTATTTCTTTTTCTGTAACTATGTAGGTTTGAAAGAGGTTGGTAGCCTACAAACTCTTATCACAGTAATTTGCTAATCGTCCAATTAACAATAAATTAACTGCAACAATACATTGTTATTGAACTCATTATGGGCAAAATATGCTATTAGTAAATTATTCACCATTTAAATTAATGTTTTTCTTTTGTTAAAATGGAATATTATCGTTAAGTACTTTCCAGAATTGTGAACAATTGTTAATAGGAGGCGTTACAACAAACGTCATTAGGGCTGTTCCTAATTAAGAGATAGTAGGGATGAATAACAATGCGCAGGGGCAGCTATATAAGCTTAGGGTCTGCGAGTATTTGCCAATACACAAGTTAACTTTCAACGATACGTTCGCGCAAAGCAAAGACACTCAAGACGCAAGATGTCACCAAACGTAAGTTTCTTTAGTACAATATGATTTAATATATCACTTTCTTAGAATTACATGTTGACATTCCTATTTATTTATTGTCTAGAAACAACAGATGCAGACCACAGAAAGAAAACGTGGTAGACCGGCCGGGAAGAATAGAATTCCGCTGACACAGGTAAGACCAGTTTAATATTTAACAGATGTGAGATATTATTTTTATAATATTTAATGTTAATTTTATTTACTTTTTATATCGTCTACAGGATGAACGCCGATTTCGCAACGCTTTTTTGGAGCGAGAACGGCGAGCTTCTACGGCAAAGGCCATGGTCGAGCTGGCTGAGGCGTTGGAGTGCGACCCCAATGTTGGTATCCTTTTGTTTATATATACATACAATATTAACAGTATACCATCTATTAGATATTATCAGTTATGTTATTTGTTTTGCAGATTTCTAGAGCGGACCTTTTGGCTGAGGCCATTAGCTACATACAGAGGATGTCGAAAGGTCCGATGGAAACAATCAGCCAGCTGACTGACACAAATAGCAGTCTTGAGTTCCAAAGTATGTGTTTTATATAAATATAATTAATATAATTTTTAAATGTTAATGTTGTTTACTTATAGATTTTTTTTTATTTTAGTAACTAAATTGAAGACGGAACTCAAGGATCGTGGTGTATGCCGTAAAGGCAATGTCGCGGAGAGTTCTAATGTAAGTCAATATTGTTTTGATATAAATTCATTAACTACACCTACCATGCTCGATATAGCTAAAAATTAACTAATATAAATTCTTTATAGGCGAGTCTTCGGCCGAAGAAGAAAGGAAAGGGGAAAGGAGAAAGGAACCGGAGAGAATGTCCAGTATGTATCAACCTAACACTTTTTTATTCAAATGCTCGTATCGTTCTACATTACCTATATTGTTTATATTTTAAACATATGTCTATAATATTTTCTGTTTTTTTTTTTTTATTTATATTGTTTTTTTTTTCTCAGGACTCTGACTTCGGAGTTATGGACATAGGATCGGACGACGAAGATCTCCGATCGAAAAGCCTGAGTACGTATCGACTTTTGTTTTAATATGTATTTGAAGTTTTTAGTGGTTTCATTTTAATAATTAAAATTATAAATAATTTATGTTGTTACAGGTGATTTGCAGAGAGAATATTTGGGCGACGTTGTGTCTTTAATAAAGGACTAAAGTCCTTTATTAGACGACACTCGAGCCAATATTCTCTCGACTTGGGTTTTTCGATGCGCTTTCGTCGTCCGACGCTCCGATTTCCGGTGTCCGACCTAACTCCAAGACTAAAGGTGCGATTCCAAATTAATTCTATTGTGGATTTTCACTGTTGAAGTGTCATTTGATTCTATTGTCAATAATTCGAATTCAAACATTGAAAAGGTAATATAACGAAAATATTTTGTTTAATGCTAATTATAACACAATACCTTATTTTGTTTCAGGTACTCTGACCTGACCCTGACCCATTAGTTAAGTACAACTAGATTAGGTATCTATGGCTGTTTCAATTTACATAATTTGAATGGTGTTAATTTTAACTATTCAATAGTTGAAAATGTATGTATTTATAGATACAAAGAAACAATTATTTTATGATTTATGAATTTATTTATTATTTCACAATTGTCAATTAAACCATCAACTATTATATTAGAGAATACTATTATTATTATTAATACTTATTTATTATAACTTATTTATATTAAAGTAAAAATAAATGTACAAAATGAATTATGTCCTTATGTACCTGATTAATACAATAAAGGTCTCTTATATAAAATAGGTTTTTTATTTTCAACCGATTTCAAAACACCAGCATTCTAAATTTTCTATATATATTCTGTTGATTGAGCATTTTATAATATGTTGTAGTTGTAGGCGATGCCAAAACATATACAAACTTTGCCACATTAGAATTTTAAATGTATTAATGAAAGTTCTAGTAAATTATCTTTGGTATATAGGTAGGTATAAGTAGATGTTGTTATGATTAAACTAATTTAGAAAATCATTAAATCATTACATTCAGAATTGTAATCGAGCAATAATAAATAATATGTACCTACTAAGAATGGCAATCGAGCTGACAGACCATCTGATGGAAAACCGCCCACGGACCTCACAGGATACTCTGTCACATCCGTAGTACTCTTCATGTATTACCATAGTTGAAGAGTATGGTATCATGTCTCCGTACCCTTTAATTTCACCCCAATATCTTACACTTCAAACCGAAAGATAGCCATGCTAGGTCGGCAACATCATAACAGAAACATGGGTGGGACAGAGGGTACCTACTCTATATATTCAAAATAACATTGCACCCACATCAAAAAAAGATGAAGCAAAAAATAAACTGATATTAGACTTTTAATTTAAGGAAAAAATTTAAATTTAAATCGGAGTCAATTGTTGTGTTATATGGTTGTTGATAGATTAGTATAATTTGTCAGTTGCTTACAGACGTTTAAGGATTGGTTGGTGATCCAAACCCTTAAAAGTATTTAAAATACAGATCTAGTATTGGTTTATTTGCTCTTCATTAGCTCATCATTTAATACAATATAACGTCTAACGGACTTTACGTGCCCATATTATTCCAAGTATTATCCTCTAACTGTAAAAATAGTGAGGAACATTGAGGGCTTGTATCTTCTTTATATCAGCTTATCTATTATTATCAGCTCAGACACATGGCATGATGATTACCAGATGCAAGTTTTGAAAAAATGGGAAACAGCATTTCATCATCAGATCCTGGCTTTGTAACAATGGAACTCATTCAGGAGTATTCTCTTTCTAATGAAAAAATATTTTTTGAAATCGGTACATAATTGACGGAGAAACGAAAACAGTCTAACATATAAACGCCTCCTTTTTTAAAGTCGGTCAACAATTGAAAAGCATTACTCATTGTGTTTTATACTGGAATACAATTATTTGAAGATGCACTTAATAACATAGTTTTCATCGTGGTGTTAGTAGACACTTACTATATGGGATGTACTTCTTATCTCGTTCAGTAAACATATAGGTACCAGCACCGCGAACGAAGTGGCGGGAAAAAGCTACTACGAGTACCTACATATATTCCAAGGTAATATCTGTATAAGAAGGTAGGAGTAATAAGACTGAATGTGCTTATCGCAGATAAGCACATTCAGTCTTATTGATCTTGTCGATCTATCTTTAAATAGCTATTTTTTCTTGAATACGTTGCTTTGTTACAGTTCTGTATGTTTCAAGTAACATACAAAACTTTAACAAAACAAACCTACTATCTTAGGAATTAACAAAAAAAATTTTCACAAATATTTTACGGCTCTATTTTTAGAGATCTATAAAGATAGGAAAGCAATTATGGTAAATATTACAATATTACCAATTGAAAGAACGTTTCATTATTATTACTTTTTGCATACATACTTTACAATTTTACACGCAGAACAATAAACAATATAAATAACAATAAAGGGTCACTATTGGTCGCTCGGGTATGAATTATGTCGATATTTTTTGTACAGTTGAAAAACAATGAGGATCTTGGAATATTTATACCTTTCAAGCACCTACCGAGTTAAACCGACATAGAATCGGTGTTCGTATAATGTTTTGTTTTTCATTTATTTATCCATAATAACATATTAATAAAATAGAGAAAGGATGTTATATAAAAGTTACTATTTGTGCCAAGCGCTAGAAACACTTATTGTTGGAATTCAACCGAATTGATCTCGAATGTTGGATTAATTTTTATTTATATAGATAATTTAAGAATCTATAATAATAAATATATATCTATTAAAAAATCCATGACAAGATAATATCGAGTGGAATTTCTACTATGTCCTTATTAGTGGATAAAGAATCACCAACCTCACTTTTACTATCATTTTCTAAATAAACTCAAACCACATATAACCCATCTAAGTAATCTGCACTTAGGTACCTATACAATTTTTTGAATCATTAATAGAATACTGCAGTCGCTTTTAGAGTATGAGTTTGTAATGAAAACCGACACAAGTTTGTAATTAGGATAAAAGTAAAGGAAATCGAATCAATTTGGAGCAATATACCTACTTGCCTAATTGACATTAGATAAAAATTAAAATGGCTAATGGCATTTGAATTTATATTAAAACCTAGATTAGATATCCAAGATAGATTATGCGTAATAACACGTATGTTTTGCTTGTTTGGATTTTTGCTTATTTTCTTCTAAAACGACATAACGAATTTTAATATCGGTTTTACTGACTTTTACATTTTTTTCTTAATAGAAAGTTACTACGTATAATACATCCTAATTGTGTGTGTGTGAAGTGAGGACCCAGGGCGGACCGTTTAGGTATATTTGCTAGCTGTGTACGTGACATCGCGGGATCTGCACATACTGTTTAATGGAGATTAAAAACACCTTATGTTATTTTCCATCGCCATTATTGCCTATGTGTGTATGCGCATAATCTTGCGACTATTGATTAAGCAGTTAAAGTGCCATGATAACAAACAAATAACTTCTTATTTATATTTTATTTATAATAATGAGGTACTTACCTAAAGATGTTGCTAATAGAGACTAAAGTCTCAACTAAAGTAAAGTCAGTTCGGGGGAAAGGGATTTTAAGTAATGGGGAGATTAGTCCCCATTACTATCAATATACCCTATTAGGTCGACCTCCACACGGTTCCCTCTGAAAACCATCGTGACTAATTTATCGTTGAATTCGTCACGATGGGCTAATTGACCTGCTTTTTCATCCTCACCAAACATTCCTCACTGTTACCCCACCAGTGTAGAGCGATAGCACAGGCGGGGTTACCATTCCATACCCATTAATATAAATGTTTGTATTATGCGGTAATCGAACTCGAACATTTATTTTATTTATTTAAGTACAACCAACAAAGCATACCTACATTTATATCTACTTAAAATAGATGATAATATACATTATAAAACGCTGCTTTAATTAAACATTGAATGATAAGGCGGTGTGTTAAGCTATTGCACCATGGAAAATATATAGCGAATATGAAGCTTTGTTAAAAAAATTATTTACCTACACAGGCACAATGAATTGCCCAGACGTCTCGTGACCTTGTAAACCGCGATCCCCACTACGGCCTGTGAGTGGCGCTTAGTGCGATGTTGGGCGTCTAGCCGCTCGCTCATTGGTCGATTATGTTCTTTTTATCTGTCATTTACATCATACACACTTTATCATATATTACTTCGTCTTTTATATATATATATATATATATATATATATATATATATATATATGTAATGTATGTCGAAACATACCGAATTTATAATACGATAGAGTCACCCATTGTTTTATCAGTGTGATCCATTCTTGTATTTTCTTTTATTTTTACTAAGTCTAGGTACTACTGTAAATTTCTGGGAAGGACTGTAGGTGCATATTAATAATACCGATAGCGCAGGCGGGGTTACCATTCCATTTTCACCCATTAAAAAAAAACTTTACGGACACTCATTATTATATATGGTTTCTTTCATACATGTGCTTATATTACTTGCATACACCCACTCTAACTTGCCTACCTTGCTTTGGAATGATATTTTTTGTTTGTATAAATAAAATCCTTTATTGGCTGTATTTATAAGAGACTTAGCATGTAAGTTATTTTTTGAACTGTGGATTTTTGTATAAAAAAATAACATTGTCACCCAGCGTAATTTAAGTTTATCTAGTTCATGTTATGTCCAGGCACTGCTCATGTCTATAGGCAACGGTTAGCACTTTCTATTAGGGGGGCCGTCAGCTTATTTGCCATTCTAATTTGCATAAAAAAGTTCCATGAAAATTTGTTTGAAAATTTTCATAATACCTATTGTACACCGCTCTACCCGATGATATTGATGCTCTTTTCCAATTTGGATTTACTGGAAGAGAATTCTTTTAGAGCCTTTGTATATTTGATTATCGCTGTCATATATTTATGTACAATTAGTGTGTACGATATAGCATTAAAAAAAATTAAAAAAAGTTCTTCACCGGTGAGTCTTGGACCAAAAAATAAAGGAAAGGGAAAAAGGACGGGGAAACGGAAAGGGAACCGGAGAGAATGTTCAGTATGTATCAACATAACACTTTTATTCAAATGCTCGTATTGTTCTACATTACCTACCTATATTGTTTACATTTTAAACATATTTTTATAATATTTTCTGTTTTGTTTTTTTTTTTATTTTATTTATATTTTATTTTTTCTCAGGACTCTCACATAGGAATTATGGACATAGGATCGGACGACGAAGATCTACAAACAAAAAGCCTAAGTACCTATCAACTTTTTTTAAATATGTAGATATTTAAAATTTGTAGTGGTATAATTTTAATAATTCAACATAATTTACAAATTATTTATGTTGTTACAGGCGATTTGCACAGGGAAATATTGGGCGATGTAGTGTCTTCAATAAACAACTAAATTTTATTAAACTTATTATAGGTAGGTACAAACTATGACAATAAATGTTCACAAATTAGGGCATTTTAGTATTTATTTCATTACCATATACTAAATACGTATATTTTCAACGCGTCATATATATATATATATATATATATATATATATATATATATATATATATATATATATATATATATATATATATATGACGCGTTCTAATCTATTCTAATTAAATTAGTAAATTAGTCACCATTTAAACTAATGTTTTTCTTTTGTTAAAATGGAATATTATCGTTAAGTACTTTCCAGAATTGTGAACAATTGTTAATAGGAGGCGTCACAACAACCGTCATTAGGGCTGTTCCTGTTTCAAAGATGGTAGGGATGAATAACAATGCGCAGGGGCAGCTATATAAGCTTAGGGTCTGCGAGTATTTGCCAATACACAAGTTAACTTTCAACGATACGTTCGCGCAAAGCAAAGACACTCAAGACGCAAGATGTCACCAAACGTAAGTTTCTTTAGTACAATATAATTTAATATATCACTTTCTTAGAATTACATGTTGACATTCCTATTTATTTATTGTTTAGAAACAACAGATGCAGACCACAGAAAGAAAACGTGGTAGACCGGCCGGGAAGAATAGAATTCCGCTGACACATGTAAGACCAGTTTAATTAATTAACAGATGTAAGATATTATTTTTATAATATTTTATACTAATTTTATTTACTTATTACATCGTCTACAGAATGAACGGCGTTCTCGTAACGCTTTTTTGGAGCGAGAACGGCGAGCTTCTACGGCAAAGGCCATAGTCGAGCTGGCTGAGGCGATGGAGTGCGACCCCAATGTTGGTATCCTTTTGTTTATATATACATACAATATTAACAGTACACCATCTATAAGATATCATCGAATATGTCATTTGTTTTGCAGATTTCTAGAGCGGACCTTTTGGCTAAGGCCATTAAATACATACGGAGGATGTCGAAAGGTCCGATGGAAACAATCAGCCAGCTGACTGGTATAAATAAGAATCTTGAGTTCCAAAGTATGTATTTTATATAAATATAATTAACATAATTTTTAAATGTTAATGTTGTTTACTTATAGATTTTTTTTTATTTTAGTATCTAAATTGAAGACGGAACTCAAGGATCGTGGTGTATGCCGTAAAAAGCAAAGTCGCGGAAAGTTCTAATGTAAGTCAATATTGTTTTGATATAAATTCATTAACTACACCTACCATGCTCGATATAGCTAAAAATTAACTAATATAAATTCTTCATAGGCGAGTCTTCGGCCGAAGAAGAAAAGAAAGGGGAAGGGGAAAGGAGAATAGAACCGGAGAGAATGTTCAGTATGTATCAACCTAACTCTTTTATTCAAATGCTCGTATTGTTTTACATTACCTATATTATTTATATTTTAAATATATGTTTATAATATTTCCTGTTTTATTTTTTCTCAGGACTCTGACTTCGGAGTTATGGACATAGGATCGGACGACGAAGATCTCCGATCGAAAAGCCTGAGTACGTATCGACTTTTGTTTTAATATGTATTTGAAGTTTTTAGTGGTTTCATTTTAATAATTAAAATTATAAATAATTTATGTTGTTACAGGTGATTTGCAGAGAGAATATTTGGGCGACGTTGTGTCTTTAATAAAGGACTAAAGTCCTTTATTAGACGACACTCGAGCCAATATTCTCTCGACTTGGGTTTTTCGATGCGCTTTCGTCGTCCGACGCTCCGATTTCCGGTGTCCGACCTAACTCCAAGACTAAAGGTGCGATTCCAAATTAATTCTATTGTGGATTTTCACTGTTGAAGTGTCATTTGATTCTATTGTCAATAATTCGAATTCAAACATTGAAAAGGTAATATAACGAAAATATTTTGTTTAATGCTAATTATAACACAATACCTTATTTTGTTTCAGGTACTCTGACCTGACCCTGACCCATTAGTTAAGTACAACTAGATTAGGTATCTATGGCTGTTTCAATTTATATAATTTGAAGGGAACTATTCAATAGTTGAAAATGTATGTATTTATACAAAGAAACAATTATTTTATGATTTATGAATTTATTTATTATTTCACAATTGTCAATTAAACCATCAACTATTATATTAGAGAATACTATTATTATTATTAATACTTATTTATTATAACTTATTTGTATTAAAGTAAAAATAAATGTACAAAATGAATTATGTCTTTATGTACCTGATTAATACAATAAAGGTCTCTTATATAAAATAGTTGTTTTATTTTCAACCGATTTCAAAACACCAGCATTCTAAATTTTCTATATATATTCTGTTAATTAAGCATTTTATAATATGTTGTAGTTGTAGGCGATGCCAAAACATATACAGACTTTGCCACATTAGAACTTTAAATGTATTAATGAGATTTCTAGTAAATTATCTTTGGTATATAGGTAGGTATAAGTAGATGTTGTTATGATTAAACTAATTTAGAAAATCATTAAATCATTACATTCAGAATTGTAATCGAGCAATAATAAATAATATGTACCTACTAAGAATGGCAATCGAGCTGACAGACCATCTGATATAAAACCGCCCACGGACCTCACAGGATACTCTGTCACATCCGTAGTACTCTTCATGTATTACCATAGTTGAGGAGTACGGTATCATGTCTCCGTCCCCTTTAATTTCACCCCAATATCTTACACTTCAAACCGAAACATAGCCATGCTAGGTCGGCAACATCATAACAGAAACATGGGTGGGACAGAGGGTACCTACTCTATATATTCAAAATAACATTGCACCCACATCAAAAAAAGATGAAGCAAAAAATAAACTGATATTAGACTTTTAATTTAAGGAAAAAAATTAAATTTAAATCGGAGTCAATTGTTGCGTTATATGGTTGTTGATAGATTAGTATAATTGGTCAGTTGCTTACAGACGTTTAAGGATTGGTTGGTGATCCAAACCCTTAAAAGTATTTAAAATACAAATCTAGTATTAGTTTATTTGTTATTCATTAGCTCATCATTTAATACAATATAACGTCTAACGGACTTTACGTGCCCATATTATTCCAAGTATTATCCTCTAACTGTAAAAATAGTGAGGAACATTGAGGGCTTGTATCTTCTTTATATCAGCTTATCTATTATTATCAGCTCAGACACATGGCATGATGATTACCAGATGCAAGTTTTGAAAAAATGCGAAAAATCATCATCATCAGATCCTGACTTTGTAACAACGGAACTCATTCAGGGGTACATTGTTTCGATTAAAAAAAGATTTTTTTGAATTCATATAATGAAATAGATGGATAGTATTAAGAATTGTTATTTTTCTTTGACATTGTTAAAATATAGACAAGAATTTATTTGAATATTACTTTATTGTTAACATACAATGTAGGTACAGCTTTGAATCTTTTTATAGGTAGCTGGAATAGAGTAAGTACCTATTCAAGTAATTGTATTCCATAGACATACTCTTTATTGTTTCCGCCAAAAGATTTTTTTTCCAATGTCCGCCAAAAGATTACGGTAGTAAACTTATTATAGGTACAAACCTTTACAAGAAATGTTCACAAATTGGTTAGGGCATTTTTGTGTTTTAAGAGGGTTTATTTCGTTACAATAAACTAAATACGTATTTTTTTTTCTAATAATATAATTTTTAAATAAATCTCATTATTCTAGACATATTATAGGTATATTACAAATGATCACAAAAAATGTTTACTAGGTAATCAAGTAAGTAAAAATAGTAATTATATTCCAGGATAAAACGCAATGAGTAATGCTTTTCAATTGCTGACCGGAAAATGGAGGCGTTTACATATTCGTCCGTTTTTGTTTCTCCGTTAAGTGTACCAATTTAAAAAACAAAATTTTTTTTAGTCGATACAATACCCTACCCTCTGTCCCACCCATGTTTCTGTTATGATGTTGCCGACCTAGCATGGCTATGTTTCGGTTTGAAGTGTAAGATATTGGGGTGAAATTAAAGGGGACGGAGACATGATACCGTACTCCTCAACTATGGTAATACATGAAGAGTACTACGGATGTGACAGAGTATCCTGTGAGGTCCGTGGGCGGTTTTATATCAGATGGTCTGTCAGCTCGATTGCCATTCTTAGTAGGTACATATTATTTATTATTGCTCGATTACAATTCTGAATGTAATGATTTAATGATTTTCTAAATTAGTTTAATCATAACAACATCTACTTATACCTACCTATATACCAAAGATAATTTACTAGAAATCTCATTAATACATTTAAAGTTCTAATGTGGCAAAGTCTGTATATGTTTTGGCATCGCCTACAACTACAACATATTATAAAATGCTTAATTAACAGAATATATATAGAAAATTTAGAATGCTGGTGTTTTGAAATCGGTTGAAAATAAAACAACTATTTTATATAAGAGACCTTTATTGTATTAATCAGGTACATAAAGACATAATTCATTTTGTACATTTATTTTTACTTTAATACAAATAAGTTATAATAAATAAGTATTAATAATAATAATAGTATTCTCTAATATAATAGTTGATGGTTTAATTGACAATTGTGAAATAATAAATAAATTCATAAATCATAAAATAATTGTTTCTTTGTATAAATACATACATTTTCAACTATTGAATAGTTCCCTTCAAATTATATAAATTGAAACAGCCATAGATACCTAATCTAGTTGTACTTAACTAATGGGTCAGGGTCAGGTCAGAGTACCTGAAACAAAATAAGGTATTGTGTTATAATTAGCATTAAACAAAATATTTTCGTTATATTACCTTTTCAATGTTTGAATTCGAATTATTGACAATAGAATCAAATGACACTTCAACAGTGAAAATCCACAATAGAATTAATTTGGAATCGCACCTTTAGTCTTGGAGTTAGGTCGGACACCGGAAATCGGAGCGTCGGACGACGAAAGCGCATCGAAAAACCCAAGTCGAGAGAATATTGGCTCGAGTGTCGTCTAATAAAGGACTTTAGTCCTTTATTAAAGACACAACGTCGCCCAAATATTCTCTCTGCAAATCACCTGTAACAACATAAATTATTTATAATTTTAATTATTAAAATGAAACCACTAAAAACTTCAAATACATATTAAAACAAAAGTCGATACGTACTCAGGCTTTTCGATCGGAGATCTTCGTCGTCCGATCCTATGTCCATAACTCCGAAGTCAGAGTCCTGAGAAAAAATAAAACAGGAAATATTATAAACATATATTTAAAATATAAATAATATAGGTAATGTAAAACAATACGAGCATTTGAATAAAAGAGTTAGGTTGATACATACTGAACATTCTCTCCGGTTCTATTCTCCTTTCCCCTTCCCCTTTCTTTTCTTCTTCGGCCGAAGACTCGCCTATGAAGAATTTATATTAGTTAATTTTTAGCTATATCGAGCATGGTAGGTGTAGTTAATGAATTTATATCAAAACAATATTGACTTACATTAGAACTCTCCGCGACTTTGCTTTTTACGGCATACACCACGATCCTTGAGTTCCGTCTTCAATTTAGTTACTAAAATAAAAAAAAAATCTATAAGTAAACAACATTAACATTTAAAAATTATGTTAATTATATTTATATAAAATACATACTTTGGAACTCAAGACTGCTATTTATATCAGTCAGCTGGCTGATTGTTTCCATCGGACCTTTCGACATCCTCCGTATGTATTTAATGGCCTTAGCCAAAAGGTCCGCTCTAGAAATCTGCAAAACAAATGACATAATTGATAATATCTTATAGATGGTGTACTGTTAATATTGTATGTATATATAAAAAAAAGGATACCAACATTGGGGTCGCACTCCAATGCCTTAGCCAGCTCGACCATGGCCTTTGCCGTAGAAGCTCGCCGTTCTCGCTCCAAAAAAGCGTTGCGAAATCGGCGTTCATCCTGTAGACGATATAAAAAGTAAATAAAATTAACATTAAATATTATAAAAATAATATCTCACATCTGTTAAATATTAAACTGGTCTTACCTGTGTCAGCGGAATTCTATTCTTCCCGGCCGGTCTACCACGTTTTCTTTCTGTGGTCTGCATCTGTTGTTTCTAAACAATAAATAAATAGGAATGTCAACATGTAATTCTAAGAAAGTGATATATTAAATTATATTGTACTAAAGAAACTTACGTTTGGTGACATCTTGCGTCTTGAGTGTCTTTGCTGCGCGAACGTATCGTTGAAAGTTAACTTGTGTATTGGCAAATACTCGCAGACCCTAAGCTTATATAGCTGCCCCTGCGCATTGTTATTCATCCCTACCATCTCTGAAATAGGAACAGCCCTAATGACGGTTGTTGTGACGCCTCCTATTAACAATTGTTCACAATTCTGGAAAGTACTTAACGATAATATTCCATTTTAACAAAAGAAAAACATTAGTTTAAATGGTGACTAATTTACTAATGTAATTAGAATATATATATATATATATATATATATATATATATATATATATATATATATATATATATATATATATATATATATAGATAGATAGATATATATATATATATATATATATAGATAGATATATATATATATATGACGCATTGAAAATATACGTATTTAGTATATGGTAATGAAATAAATACTAAAATGCCCTAATTTGTGAACATTTATTGTCATAGTTTGTACCTACCTATAATAAGTTTAATAAAATTTAGTTGTTTATTGAAGACACTACATCGCCCAATATTTCCCTGTGCAAATCGCCTGTAACAACATAAATAATTTGTAATTTATGTTGAATTATTAAAATTATACCACTACAAATTTTAAATATCTACATATTTAAAAAAAGTTGATAGGTACTTAGGCTTTTTGTTTGTAGATCTTCGTCGTCCGATCCTATATCCATAATTCCTATGTGAGAGTCCTGAGAAAAAATAAAATATAAATAAAATAAAAAAAAAACAAAACAGAAAATATTATAAAAATATGTTTAAAATGTAAACAATATAGGTAGGTAATGTAGAACAATACGAGCATTTGAATAAAAGTGTTATGTTGATACATACTGAACATTCTCTCCGGTTCCCTTTCCGTTTCCCCGTCCTTTTTCCCTTTCCTTTATTTTTTGGTCCAAGACTCACCGGTGAAGAACTTTTTTTAATTTTTTTTAATGCTATATCGTACACACTAATTGTACATAAATATATGACAGCGATAATCAAATATACAAAGGCTCTAAAAGAATTCTCTTCCAGTAAATCCAAATTGGAAAAGAGCATCAATATCATCGGGTAGAGCGGTGTACAATAGGTATTATGAAAATTTTCAAACAAATTTTCATGGAACTTTTTTATGCAAATTAGAATGGCAAATAAGCTGACGGCCCCCCTAATAGAAAGTGCTAACCGTTGCCTATAGACATGAGCAGTGCCTGGACATAACATGAACTAGATAAACTTAAATTACGCTGGGTGACAATGTTATTTTTTTATACAAAAATCCACAGTTCAAAAAATAACTTACATGCTAAGTCTCTTATAAATACAGCCAATAAAGGATTTTATTTATACAAACAAAAAATATCATTCCAAAGCAAGGTAGGCAAGTTAGAGTGGGTGTATGCAAGTAATATAAGCACATGTATGAAAGAAACCATATATAATAATGAGTGTCCGTAAAGTTTTTTTTTTAATGGGTGAAAATGGAATGGTAACCCCGCCTGCGCTATCGGTATACGTTGGCGAGGCACCAGTGAAGGGTGATAGGTGAGGGTGAAAGCAGGTCAGTTAGCCCAACGTGAAGAATTCCGTGAGAATTAACCACCGAGGTCGACCTGATAGGTAATATTGCCAGCAATGGAACTTCTAGATCCCATTACTAACAATCCCTTTCCCCCTGTCCATAAAGTTAGGTTAGATTAGGTTTTTACCTGTAATTTAGAAAATAATTACAAGAAATCGCTTTCTTTTTTTTATACCACTGAAGTGGCAATCAAGCATACGGCCCGGTTGGTAAGTGGTTACCGTAGCCTATGAACGCTTGCAATACCAGGGGTATTACGCGCGCGTGGGGAAAAAGGGATTGTTAGTAATGGGGTCAAATAGCCCCATTACTAGCAATATACCCTGTCAGGTCGACCACCACGTGGTTTCCCTTGGAAACCATCGTGGATAATTGTGATTAAATTCGTCAGGATAGATTTAACTGACCAGCTTTCATCCTCATCAGTCATCAGTCACTGGTGCCCCGCCAGTGTATACCAATAGCGCAGACGGGGTTACCATACCATTATCACCCATTAAAAAAAGTAGTCATAGTAAAGAGGATATGAATGTTACTGTTTGGAAAGGACTGTAGGTGCATTATTAATATGCACCTACAGTCCTTCCCAGAAATTTACAGTAGTACCTAGACTTAGTAAAAATAAAAGAAAATACAAGAATGGATCACACTGATAAAACAATGGGTGACTCTATCGTATTATAAATTCGGTATGTTTCGACATACATTACATATATATATATATATATATATATATATATATATATAAATGACGAAGTAATATATGATAAAGTGTGTATGATGTAAATGACAGATAAAAAGAACATAATCGACCAATGAGCGAGCGGCTAGACGCCCAACATCGCACTAAGCGCCACTCACAGGCCGTAGTGGGGATCGCGGTTTACAAGGTCACGAGACGTCTTATTATCATCTATTTTAAGTATATATAAATGTAGGTATGCTTTGTTGGTTGTACTTAAATAAATAAAATAAATGTTCGAGTTCGATTACCGCATAATACAAACATTTATATTAATGGGTATGGAATGGTAACCCCGCCTGTGCTATCGCTCTACACTGGTGGGGTAACAGTGAGGAATGTTTGGTGAGGATGAAAAAGCAGGTCAATTAGCCCATCGTGACGAATTCAACGATAAATTAGTCACGATGGTTTTCAGAGGGAACCGTGTGGAGGTCGACCTAATAGGGTATATTGATAGTAATGGGGACTAATCTCCCCATTACTTAAAATCCCTTTCCCCCGAACTGACTTTACTTTAGTTGAGACTTTAGTCTCTATTAGCAACATCTTTAGGTAAGTACCTCATTATTATAAATAAAATATAAATAAGAAGTTATTTGTTTGTTATCATGGCACTTTAACTGCTTAATCAATAGTCGCAAGATTATGCGCATACACACATAGGCAATAATGGCGATGGAAAATAACATAAGGTGTTTTTAATCTCCATTAAACAGTATGTGCAGATCCCGCGATGTCACGTACACAGCTAGCAAATATACCTAAACGGTCCGCCCTGGGTCCTCACTTCACAAACACACAATTAGGATGTTATTATACGTAGTAACTTTCTATTAAGAAAAAATGTAAAAGTCAGTAAAACCGATATTAAAATTCGTTATGTCGTTTTAGAAGAAAATAAGCAAAAATCCAAACAAACAAAACATGCGTGTTATAACGCATAATCTATCTTGGATATCTAATCTAGGTTTTAATATAAATTCAAATGCCATTTGCTATTTAAATTTTTATCTAATGTCAATTAGGCAAGTAGGTATATTGCTCTAAATTGATTCGATTTCCTTCACTTTTATCCCAATTACAAACTTGTGTCGGTTTTCATTACAAACTCATACTCTAAAAGCGACTGCAGTATTCTATTAATGATTCGAAAAATTGTATAGGTGGGTAATTCTCATGAAATCCCGAAATTAACTATTAATAAATTAATGAAAATTGTTTGAATTAATTGATCTTCATTTTCTCTTAAATTTATATTATTCATGTAATTAGGAGTGAAAAATATCGTGGTCCCCAGAATAAATGAGTTTTGAACGAATTTATGAACCCTTAAAATATTTAAATGTGAGGGAATGATGACTGAGGTGAGGAAATGATGTTTATATTCATTGCTCATATGAAATCGTATCATTTATTTTTTAAATACATTTAGAATTCTACTAGGTTATATTAACTTAAAAATTCGGAAGTAAAACTTACATTGCAACTTGAAGACGACTAAAAGAATACTTATACCAAAACTCTTTCTTATCATAGTAGTAATCATAGTTTTATTAAAACAATAAATTATCAATATAAAATTACCAAAAATATGTTACTTATTGAGAACTTTTTAGAATCTCTTAATCAAATTCTTGAACATTGTTTTGAACAAAATTCAGAATATTATAACCAAACGTTAGGTTATAATTAACCTATAAGTTTGTTTACGAGATAACTCTCAGGAACTAGATTTACATCACAATGTTTGCAATCGATTCTAACCCTAAATACTCACAAATTCAGCTGATTTATTTCCTTTACTGAATAACATCCTCTTCTGATCAGTTTTGGAGGTTGAATCTTTTGTAAAATATCAGTCCAGGGGTACAATTCTTCATCTTTGCATGTAGGCCATCTCCAGGATTTGATTCCTTTTTCCATACATTTAACCAAAGCAGCATCTCCAGAAATCGACGTTATTTTTCCGGGATAAATTTCGTCGTTCCACTTGATGAGAATATGATCACCTATATCGTAGGTTACATCGTTGAGGGAGTCATTACCAACGGAAAAAGTCTTCAAAGGTTGTTTACCACGAGAACGCGTTTGCATTTTATTTGGTTTTGTTGAAGAACAGGGATTTTTTGAACATGAGTAGTATCCCAGATGAAAATGATTACATTTTTCCACACATTTATAGCAAGAAAGACTTCTAAACTCTAATACATCACCGTTAAATGTAAATTGACGAACTTTTTGAGTTCCACGGAATGCTGGGATAGAATCTGATTGCTTGACTAGGTTTTCTATTTTTGTGATATCAGTAGAAGTTACTTTAAACAACTTAATTGAAGGACATCTAGACAATAAAATATTTTCGAGTGAATTCAAGTCTACAATGTCTTTACCTTCAACTACAGCTTTGTCGGCAGTTCTTTTTAATGTACCACCAACGCCATCAGGTGCACCTTTACCATGGCCTGGTTCTGAATAGTTCCATGAAAAGAATGTTGTCCCGGGAAATAAATCATTTATATGGTGAGATACAGTATTAAATATGAACTTATTTTTGTATTGATTCACAGGGCTATCACTCAGAATGTGAATTCTATCAATGTTTGAATTATGATGGTTAATCCATTCAAAAATTGGTGTCAAGTGAGCCCACACCGCCATAGAATCGTGTCTATTATTCTCAGATAGAGAGCACAATGTGTGTGGTATAACAGTATCATTTTCACGTAAATATAAAACACCTGTATGAAGAGTAATTTGTTTTCTTGCTCCACCAAAATGGACTGATTGTATCTCTTCGTTATATTTAGAACAATAATTTTCACTAAAGTCGATATGAATCAGAACTTCTCTCTCAGTCAAATTTCTTTTAAGTTCTAAAATAGTCTGATACTGATGAGCTATCGTGGCGATGTGCTGCAAAAACGAAGGCAATGTTTCTTCTAATTTTTGTATTAGGTCTCTAATTGGTACCTTGATCTCTTTTTTACCAGGTTTACGAACTGTCTTCATTTTTTCATCTTTTTCGTAAGAAGTGATTTCGTATATCCACTGATAGTATGTCACTATTCGGTTTGGTTGTCGAAGATCATATTCTATTATTTTATGTTGACATCCTTCACAAACGCGGTTTAAACATTTTGTTGAATTGACGTCACATGTTATCGTAGACAAAAATTTGGTTAAGTTACAACTTGATAACGCTTTATTTTCATGCAACTTCATAATTATTAGTTGCATATTTGCATGGATTATACATTGACAGGTATTTCGGTCTTTGATACTTGCCCAAGTTACCCAGAAAGGTCGAAATTTACAGAATGTTGCTAAGCTTACTTCATAGTCGACTGTAGCCAGAAATTTTTTGTGCAAATTTTTCATTGTGTCACCCAATAAACGTTTTTGTTTCACAGTTCCTTTTGATCTGACAAAATCTTTTTTACCTGGACACATCCTGGAATTTTCATCTTTCTCTAAAAAATCTGCAACGTCTTGTTTAACTTTAATCATTTGTGCATTTATTTTTCTACATCCACTCTTTTTGTATGTATCGTGTTTAAAAAATGATTTTGATAAGCTCAATAACTTGTGTTTTTTTAGAAGATCTGGTTTTAAAATTTCGTAGTATTTTTTCTTATCACAATGTTTATTCAATTTAGTATAGTTGTTTTGGAGTTGTCTACAAATGACTTCTGAAAAAATAAGCTTCTTCTTTACAATACCAGGAACTTGAACATTCTTTAATATTGCTGAAACTTTAGCTTCAGGGGACGACAAAACTTTTTTACTTTGCCGCTGACATCTCTTTCGAAATTTCTCAGTTTTTCGAGTTTGCTCTTTCAATTTTTTTTCTAATCTGGCACTTTTTGCGTATTGTATTGCTCGACGCTTTTTTAGTTGCTTCCTTCTCTGAATAGCTACCATGCTCTTACGCTGATTATCATTTTGATGAACAGACCCTGTCAAATTCTTACATACTTTAGCTTTTCGGTCTCTATAATTTCGACTGTTTTTTTTCCAATTTTTTCTTTTTAGTCTCTTTTCTCTGGAACTCATGGTGGCTATAGATTTAATTTGGCCTTTCTTTTTTTTTTGTAGATATTTAGCTCTTTCTTTTTCACGAAGTTTCTCTAATTTTGCAGGATCAGACTTCATTTCCTCTCGACGTTTCTTATCGTATTCTTTCTTCTTTAATTTCGCTTCAGCATCAGATAACTTCTTACTTCTTGCCATTGTTTAACTCTAAAATAAGGCAAAATGGTAATTAAAAAGCTTCTATAAGCAAACATGTACGAAAATCGAGTTGATCCAGTCTGAAAGTAATTACCTCATAAATCATCATTCCCTCACTTTTATTCAAAATGAGGGAATGATGATGAGGGAATGACAAAATAAACCATAACCTAAAAAATCTCGCAACATAACCTCTTGTTACCATCTAACTGTTTTCTCTACACTTTCTACCTCCAAAAACATACTTTACTACTTCATCAAAATTCAAATATTTTAATTACCTTGTTTATTCTACACTGTGATGGAATGATTGTTTAAAATATAATCTTTACAAAATTTCATGGATATTTATTTCCAACAAGTACTCTAGCAAGCGTGAGGTCAATTCACCATTCCGAACAAGTGACCGTACTACCAACTATCAAAAACTAATGATAATGTTATTGAAGTCATCATAAATATACCTACTTATCGACTGTTGATAATGATATGAGGGAATGATTATTTTTCATGGGACACATGTTGAGTCAACATTAGAGAACTTGTTGATGATTTATGATCTTAAATTCAGAGAAATTTTAAAAAGTTGTTGTATTTACAAGAGACTAGCCATAATTACAAACAGATTTTTTGAGAAATTTTCTATAATAACTTCATACAAAGTTTTAATCTGTAGTTTGGGACATAGTGAGGGAATGATTTTCAATGTACTATATATTTTTTATTCCTCATAAATGCCCGTACGATTCCAAAGTTATTACCAAAATTTTTAGCCTTCATCATGTTCTTTCTGAAAAAATAAAATACCATCCTAAGTCTGTTAAGTTTATTGTAAAAACTACTAGGACTGGAATTTCGAGATTTCATGAGAATTACCCAGGTACCTAAGTGCAAATTACTTAGATGGGTTATATGTGGTTTGAGTTAATTTAGAAAATGATAGTAAAAGTGAGGTTGGTGATTCTTTATCCACTAATAAGTATATAGTAGAAATTCCACTCGATATTATCTTGTCATGGATTTTTTAATAGATATATATTTATTATTATAGATTCTTAAATTATCTATATAAATAAAAATTAATCCAACATTCGAGATCAATTCAGTTGAATTCCAACAATAAGTGTTTCTAGCGCTTGGCACAAATAGTAACTTTTATATAACATCCTTTCTCTATTTTATTAATATGTTATTATGGATAAATAAATGAAAAACAAAACATTATACGAACACCGATTCTATGTCGGTTTAACTCGGTAGGTGCTTGAAAGGTATAAATATTCCAAGATCCTCATTGTTTTTCAACTGTACAAAAAATATCGACATAATTCATACCCGAGCGACCAATAGTGACCCTTTATTGTTATTTATATTGTTTATTGTTCTGCGTGTAAAATTGTAAAGTATGTATGCAAAAAGTAATAATAATGAAACGTTCTTTCAATTGGTAATATTGTAATATTTACCATAATTGCTTTCCTATCTTTATAGATCTCTAAAAATAGAGCCGTAAAATATTTGTGAAAATTTTTTTTGTTAATTCCTAAGATAGTAGGTTTGTTTTGTTAAAGTTTTGTATGTTACTTGAAACATACAGAACTGTAACAAAGCAACGTATTCAAGAAAAAATAGCTATTTAAAGATAGATCGACAAGATCAATAAGACTGAATGTGCTTATCTGCGATAAGCACATTCAGTCTTATTACTCCTACCTTCTTATACAGATATTACCTTGGAATATATGTAGGTACTCGTAGTAGCTTTTTCCCGCCACTTCGTTCGCGGTGCTGGTACCTATATGTTTACTGGACGAGATAAGAAGTACATCCCATATAGTAAGTGTCTACTAACACCACGATGAAAACTATGTTATTAAGTACATGTTCAAATAATTGTATTCCATTGCCACCTCAGTGGTATAAAAAAAAAAGACCATGACAAAAATCAATTGATTTTTGTCTTCGATTAAAGCAAATTGTCAGCGATAATTACTGCTTTGTGTTTATATTTTTAAACATATTGATCAAATCGGCTATTCCATTCAATAGATATTACGAATTTAATAATTCATAGAAATAGAAAAAATAACGCTGTCGCGTTGTACCTACCTGTTATTCGTACCTATTTTAGCGGTGCGGAAGAGGAGCAGTTGGGGGCGGGCACATCTATGAAATTGGTAGCTAGGTAGGTACAGATAATAATGTAAAATGTTGTAAAACTGTCCACCCGTGCGAAGCCGGGACGGGTCGTTAGTATTAAAATAATTAAGGTCACTAAATAAAAAAAAAAACTTAAAAAAAATAACATTGCACCCACATCAAAAAAAGAACCAAAAAGCAAAGAATAAACTGATATTAGACTTTTAATTTAAAGAATAAAATGAGTTTGAAGTCGGAGCCAATGGACGCGTTATATTGTTGTTGAAGGATTTGTATAATTTGACAGTTGATTACAGTCGTTTAAGGATAGGTATTTAATCCTTAAAAATATTTACGTACTTCATTAGAATTCTGTTTCTTTATTAAAGTAAGCTGTAGGTATATATCATAATTATTTTCTTTAGGCTTGGCACTGACAAGAAAGACATTTTGTCCTTTGTAATAAAAATCTAATATCAATTTATTTTTCCTTCAACAGCTCATCTGAATCACTTAATGGAATATGATGTCCAACGGACTTTACGTGAATATAGTATTTAAAGTATTATTCTTTAACTCCTCACCATTGAAGAATTACACCTTCCATTATCAGGTTAGAAACATGAGATAATGATTACCAGATGCAAACATCTAAATGAGTTTTGAAAAAATGTGAAACACCATTTATTTGCCTATAGAATTTGATGGTTGCTCTCGATTTTCTTGGAATTCCATTATTAGATCCTGACTTTGTAACAATGGAACTCATTCAGGAGTATATTGTATCGACTAAAAAAATTTTTTTTTTAAATTGGTACACTTAACGGAGAAACGAAAACGGACGAATATGTAAACGCCTCCATTTTCCGGTCAGCAATTGAAAAGCATTACTCATTGCGTTTTATCCTGGAATATAATTACTATTTTTAGGTACTTGATTACCTAGTAAACATTTTTTGTGATCATTTGTAATATACCTATAATATGTCTAGAATAATGAGATTTATTTAAAAATTATATTATTAGAAAAAAAAATACGTATTTAGTTTATTGTAACGAAATAAACCCTCTTAAAACACAAAAATGCCCTAACCAATTTGTGAACATTTCTTGTAAAGGTTTGTACCTATAATAAGTTTACTACCGTAATCTTTTGGCGGACATTGGAAAAAAAATCTTTTGGCGGAAACAATAAAGAGTATGTCTATGGAATACAATTACTTGAATAGGTACTTACTCTATTCCAGCTACCTATAAAAAGATTCAAAGCTGTACCTACATTGTATATTAACAATAAAGTAATATTCAAATAAATTCTTGTCTATATTTTAACAATGTCAAAGAAAAATAACAATTCTTAATACTATCCATCTATTTCATTATATGAATTCAAAAAAATCTTTTTTTAATCGAAACAATGTACTCCTGAATGAGTTCCATTGTTACAAAGTCAGGATCTGATGATGATGAATTTTCGCATTTTTTCAAAACTTGCATCTGGTAATCATCATGCCATGTGTCTGAGCTGATAATAATAGATAAGCTGATATAAAGAAGATACAAGCCCTCAATGTTCCTCACTATTTTTACAGTTAGAGGATAATACTTGGAATAATATGGGCACGTAAAGTCCGTTAGACGTTATATTGTATTAAATGATGAGCTAATGAAGAGCAAATAAACCAATACTAGATCTGTATTTAAAATACTTTTAAGGGTTTGGATCACCAACCAATCCTTAAACGTCTGTAAGCAACTGACAAATTATACTAATCTATCAACAACCATATAACGCAACAATTGACTCCGATTTAAATTTAAATTTTTTCCTTAAATTAAAAGTCTAATATCAGTTTATTTTTTGCTTCATCTTTTTTTTAATGTGGGTGCAATTTTATTTTGAATATATTTAAAGATTTGGAGTTTTGGAAGACTATGTACAAATGTCGTTTCCATGTAGAGTAGGTACCCTCTGTCCCCACCCATGTTTCTGTTATGATGTTGCCGACCTAGCATGGCTATGTTTCGGTTTGAAGTGTAAGATATTGGGGTGAAATTAAAGGGGACGGAGACATGATACCGTACTCCTCAACTATGGTAATACATGAAGAGTACTACGGATGTGACAGAGTATCCTGTGAGGTCCGTGGGCGGTTTTCCATCAGATGGTCTGTCAGCTCGATTGCCATTCTTAGTAGGTACATATTATTTATTATTGCTCGATTACAATTCTGAATGTAATGATTTAATGATTTTCTAAATTAGTTTAATCATAACAACATCTACTTATACCTACCTATATACCAAAGATAATTTACTAGAAGTCTCATTAATACATTTAAAGTTCTAATGTGGCAAAGTTTGTATATGTTTTGGCATCGCCTACAACTACAACATATTATAAAATGCTCACTCAACAGAATATATATAGAAAATTTAGAATGCTGGTGTTTTGAAATCGGTTGAAAATAAAACAACTATTTTATATAAGAGACCTTTATTGTATTAATCAGGTACATAAAGACATAATTTATTTTGTACATTTATTTTTACTTTAATACAAATAAGTTATAATAAATAAGTATTAATAATAATAATAGTATTCTCTAATATAATAGTTGATGGTTTAATTGACAATTGTGAAATAATAAATAAATTCATAAATCATAAATAATTGTTTCTTTGTATAAATACATACATTTTCAACTATTGAATAGTTCCCTTCAAATTATATAAATTGAAACAGCCATAGATACCTAATCTAGTTGTACTTAACTAATGGGTCAGGGTCAGGTCAGAGTACCTGAAACAAAATAAGGTATTGTGTTATAATTAGCATTAAACAAAATATTTTCGTTATATTACCTTTTCAATGTTTGAATTCGAATTATTGACAATAGAATCAAATGACACTTCAACAGTGAAAATCCACAATAGAATTAATTTGGAATCGCACCTTTAGTCTTGGAGTTAGGTCGGACACCGGAAATCGGAGCGTCGGACGACGACAGCGCATCGAAAAACCCAAGTCGAGAGAATATTGGCTCGAGTGTCGTCTAATAAAGGACTTTAGTCCATTATTAAAGACACAACGTCGCCCAAATATTCTCTCTGCAAATCACCTGTAACAACATAAATTATTTATAATTTTAATTATTAAAATGAAACCACTAAAAACTTCAAATACATATTAAAACAAAAGTCGATACGTACTCAGGCTTTTCGATCGGAGATCTTCGTCCGATCCTATGTCCATAACTCCGAAGTCAGAGTCCTGAGAAAAAATAAAACAGGAAATATTATAAACATATATTTAAAATATAAATAATATAGGTAATGTAAAACAATACGAGCATTTGAATAAAAGAGTTAGGTTGATACATACTGAACATTCTCTCCGGTTCTATTCTCCTTTCCCCTTCCCCTTTCTTTTCTTCTTCGGCCGAAGACTCGCCTATGAAGAATTTATATTAGTTAATTTTTAGCTATATCGAGCATGGTAGGTGTAGTTAATGAATTTATATCAAAACAATATTGACTTACATTAGAACTCTCCGCGACTTTGCTTTTTACGGCATACACCACGATCCTTGAGTTCCGTCTTCAATTTAGTTACTAAAATAAAAAAAATCTATAAATAAACAACATTAACATTTAAAAATTATATTAATTATATTTATATAAAACACATACTTTGGAATTCAAGACTGCTATTTGTGTCAGTCAGCTGGCTGATTGTTTCCATCGGACCTTTCGACATCCTCTGTATGTAGCTAATGGCCTCAGCCAAAAGGTCCGCTCTAGAAATCTGCAAAACAAATAACATAACTGATAATATCTAATAGATGGTGTACTGTTAATATTGTATGTATATATAAACAAAAGGATACCAACATTGGGGTCGCACTCCAACGCCTCAGCCAGCTCGACTATGGCCTTTGCCGTAGTAGCTCGGCGTTCTCGCTCCAAAAAAGCGTTGCGAAATCGGCGTTCATCCTGTAGACGATGTAATAAGTAAATAAAATTAGTATAAAATATTATAAAAATAATATCTTATATCTGTAATTAATTAAACTGGTCTTACCTGTGTCAGCGGAATTCTATTCTTCCCGGCCGGTCTACCTCTTTTTCTGTCTGTGGTCTGCATCTGTTGTTTCCAAACAATAAATAAATAGGAATGTCAACATGTAATTCTAAGAAAGTGAAATGTTAAATTATACTGTATTAAAGAAACTTACGTTTGGTGACATCTAACATATATATATATATATATATATATATATATATATATATATATATATATATATATATATATATATATAGTACTTATATTTAGGTATATATATATTCTTGTGATAGGTTGTACCTATAATAAATTTAATAAAATTTAGTTGTTTATTGAAGACACTACATCGCCCAATATTTCCCTGTGCAAATCGCCTGTAACAACATAAATAATTTGTAATTTATGTTGAATTATTAAAATTATACCACTACAAATTTTAAATACCTACATATTTAAAAAAGGTCGATAGGTACTTAGGCTTTTTGTTTGTAGATCTTCGTCGTCCGATCCTATGTCCATAATTTCTATGTCAGAGTCCTGAGAAAAAATTAATTGTAAATAAATACAAAAAAAACAAAACAGAAAATATTATAAAAATATGTTTAAAATGTAAACAATATAGGTAGGTAATGTAGAACAATACGAGCATTTGAATAAAAGTGTTATGTTGATACATACTGAACATTCTCTCCGGTTCCCTTTCCGTTTCCCCGTCCTTTTTCCCTTTCCTTTATTTTTTGGTCCAAGACTCACCGGTGAAGAACTTTTTTTAATTTTTTTTAATGCTATATCGTACACACTAATTGTACATAAATATATGACAGCGATAATCAAATATACAAAGGCTCTAAAAGAATTCTCTTCCAGTAAATCCAAATTGGAAAAGAGCATCAATATCATCGGGTAGAGCGGTGTACAATAGGTATTATGAAAATTTTCAAACAAATTTTCATGGAACTTTTTTATGCAAATTAGAATGGCAAATAAGCTGACGGCCCCCCTAATAGAAAGTGCTAACCGTTGCCTATAGACATGAGCAGTGCCTGGACATAACATGAACTAGATAAACTTAAATTACGCTGGGTGCTCTTCTCTAATAAAGCTCTTCAGTTGCATCAAGGTAGGATATGTCAGGGTAATCAAGAACAGGTAACAGTAGGGCCTGAGCCAATGTAAACCCTGTCTTAAATGGTATGAATTTTTGAAATTTAAAAGATTGAAACGAAAAACCTTTTATATTAGTTAATTTTCAGCTATATTGAGCATAGTTATTTAATTTATAGTTAGTTAATTATTATTATAGTTATATTATATTGTTTTATATAAATTAATATTTATATAAAACAATATTGATTTATCGCCGTGTGTGCTAGGTATAAAATGGGCCACCCATTCCTTTCCCCTGGGTGTCGTAAGAGGCGACTAAGTGAGGGCGAGGGATAGGCAGCAGCGTCCGTCTTAAAATATCTCTAAAAGCCTAATTGCGATTGCCAATCTATCTGCCAAGCGTGGCAATTACTGACTAAACTGCTCTTATGCAGAAGGCTTATGTTCGGTATATTCATAATAATATTGACTTACATTACAACTTTACCCGATTTCGTTTTCAAGGCAAACTCTATGATCCATGAGTTCCGTCTTTAATTTCGTTCCTAAAATAAAAAAAAAAAAAATACGAGTATAAGTCAACAATATTAACATTTAAGAATTATGTTAATTAAATTTATATAAAATATATACTTTGGAATTCAAGTTTATTGTTAATTTTATTCAGCTGGTTGATGGTTTTTTGAACCTCTTGTCAGCTTCTGTATTTCGTTAATGGCCTCAGGCAAAAGATCCGCTCTAGAAATCTGCAAAACAAATAGTACTATCAGCAAATAGAATAAACTGATAATATCTAATAGATGGTGTACTATTAATATTGTATATATATATAAACAAAAGGATACCAACCTAATATATGGGGTTGCACTCTAACGCCTCAGCCGGCTTAACCGTGGACTTTACCAAAGTAGCTCGCCGTTCTCACTTCAAAAATAGCTTTACGAGAACGGCGTTCGTCCTGTAGACGATATAAAAAGTAAATAAAATTAGTATAAAATATTATAAAAAAAATATCTTACATCTGTTAATTAATTAAACTGGTCTTACATGTGTCAGCGGAATTCTATTTTTCCCGGCAGATCTGTCATTGCATCTGTTGTTTCCAAAAAATAAATAAATAGGTATATGAGAGTGCGCTGTCTCTCTGCACTCTTGTTTATCCCCACCACCTCTGAAACAGGAACAGCCATAATGACGGCTATTGTAATGCCGTATTTTATCAATTGTTCACAATAAAGTGAAAGGAATTAAAGTGTTTAATGATAATATTTAATTGGAACAAAAGAAAAACATTAATTTTAAATGTTACTAACTTACTAATAGTTAATGCTAATATTTTGCTCAAAATAAGACCAATAACAATGTATTGTTGGAATTCATTTCTTGTTAATTAGACGATTAGCAAATTGCTACTACAAGATTTTATTAAAAGTGTATTTTCAAAACAACTGCGAGTATACACATATGTTCAGATGTTTTGTTGTCTAAAGAAAGGAAAATCCACATTAGAAGCTATCTTATGTGCGGAACCCTAGACGTGTAAGTTCTTCTCAGAATTGACCAGTTTTTTCTTTCGTGTATTGTCATATTCTAAAAATACCATCACTCTTTTTCTGTGAATGTTTTATTGATTGGAGAACTTATTAACGAAGGCATAATTTTTTGTTCTGTTCCTGAATTAGTTACAGACTAGCCTTACCTTTAAAAATTCCAAGACATTCATTATTGTCACATTGGCCGTTTACAAACACCAACTTCAATTGTGACAAAACTAGTTATTCTTATTTAAAAACAAAACTACTGAACGGATTTTGATACCATTTCCATATATATATATATATGGAAATGGTATTAAAATCCGTTCAGTAGTTTTGTTACATATATATATGGGACTAATTTACAGAGGGAGACTTTGTACAAAAGTTGATTGCTTGGGTACCTCTGTCCCATTCGTGTTTCAACCGTGAAGCAGTTGTGTTTGCATGGCTGTGTTTCGGTTTGAAGGGTGGTAGGAAGGTACAGAGGAATAACACCTGAGTCCTTAGGAATGGCAACGCATGGGGGGTATCATGGGCGAAATAGTACACTCTGTTATGTCCATGGTACTGCTCATGTCTGTGGCGACGGTTACCATTTTCCATCAGGTGGGCAGTCAGCTTGTTTGCCATTCTAAGTTGTATAAAAAAAAACAATTTATAAGTATATCTTTCAGATAAAAAAGACTTTTCCAAAACAGATTAGAGCTGACGAGGTTTGGAGGTAGCAAACATAAAAATACAACCGAATTGAGAATCCCCTTATTTTTGAAGACGGTTGAAAAATATTACTCATAAACATTTTTATAAAGACAAAAGTAATACACGTATACTGTGCCTGCTTTTGTTTGTTTATTTGTTACTTATCGGCCCAACCGAACATTGTATTGTATTGTATTGTAAAATCTTTATTGTACATAATTCATGCTGTGTATACCTATTGGTTCAATGAAAAAGGAGTTTCAGAATAAAATTTTATGATACCTGCTTTAAAGAATTTTTATGATTGTATTATTTTCAAATTATTAGGAAGTGAATTCTAGAGACGTGGAGCGTGTACAGTAAATGACTTGGCATAGTTTTGAGTATTAAAACAAGGTAAATTCACAATAAAATCATTACTGCATCTCAGGCGAACATCAGTCTCGCAAAATTTGAACCCTTCCTGAAGGTAATGTGGACATGTTGGACTTAAAAAGATATTGAAAATAAGAGTAAGAATGTGGACATTTCTCCGTAGCCTGATGGGAAGCCACTTGAGTTAACTGAGATAACCAGATGTTTGGTTTGAGAGGGGGGGGGGGGGGAAGGATTGTTAGTAATGGATACTAAAAATCCCATTGCTAGCAATATAATAGTCCTCCTCGCGGTTCGGAAACTATCATGGTTAATTCCTTATGAATTCATCATGATGAGCTAACTGGCCTGTTTTCATTCTCATCTATCACCCTTCACTGGTGCTCCGCCAGCGTATCCCTTTAGCGCAGACGGGGCTACCATACCATTTTCACCCATCAAAAAAAAACATATACCGATTACGCGTGCGAAGTGCGGAGTCAAATTAGTATCTATATATATTCCTAGGTAGTATCTGTATAAGTAGGTAGGAGTAAGACGTATTAGTTGTTTTTTTTAATTCTGATCAGCTTATTCATCATCATCATCATCATCTCAGCCATTATCTATCCACTTGCTCTAACTGCTGAACGGATATGATGAAATGGATTGTTAATAATGCGGGTTACTAGTCCCATTGCTAGCAATATACCCTGTCAGCTCGACCTCCACGTGGTTCCTTCTAGAAATAATTGTGCTTAATTCTAGGTGTGTTCATCACGATGAGCTAAATGGCCTGCTTTTTCATTCTAACCTATCATCGCTTACTAGTGCCCCGCCAGCGTACCTATACCGTTAGCGCAGGCGGAGATACCATTTCATTATCATCAATAAAAAAAAAACCTTCACGTGTTGCCATTCCTGAGGACTAAGATGTCATACCTACGTACCCTGTAATTTTGTTAGCATATCAGTTTCGTCTTTCAAATCGAAACACGCCTATAATTTATACACAAATAAAAAAGAAAGAAAATGGAATGGTACCGGTCAAAACAAAGAATATGAACTATTTTTAATTATTTATATTAGGCATATTATATAAAAATTATATTACTTTTAATAAAACACAACTTACCTTTATGCTTCCATAACATTCTGCTTATAAATAAGCACATTAGGTACAATTTTTTTTTTATTTTGTTACTAACTAGGTTTTTATTAAAATGGCTTTATAAAATTTTTTAGGCACAAATAAATTTACAATTTCCTAAAATTTATGTAGACAACTACTTTATACGGAGATCCAGTAATACTGTTGTTTCTACCTACTTGTTAGGTAATTTATAGACATTTTGTATAATTAGGGAACTACCACCAAGTAAGCAAAAAAAAAAAAAATCGAACTAATAAGTACCCTCGTTTATAATCTCATTTAATACTAGCTATGCTTACGATTTAATTCAGGCGTAAATAGTATAATAATCTCCGATAAATTTTCAGTTTTCTGCTTTTGGAATTTATAACTTAGACTGAAATAGATTGCTATCAGCCCTGTATTCGGTATCCAAAGCCTACATTTTACTGTTCGTATCTACTTCATATGAAAAAAAATATATTTAGTATCAAAATGTAAAACTTTTTTTTTATCTAGTATAAAAATAATTTATTTAAATAATGACAATATACAAAAAATAATTTTAAATTGTAATTTGAAAGGTTACGAATACTACTTTTATGATTAACGCCATCTATCGTCAATCTTTATATACGCGGTACTTCAGAGTTCTGTTTACATCACGTTTATTGCTACTCGAACAGATGTCGCTATATTAACTCCGAAAACAAATATTTTAACTAATTCGTCACAAATAAAATTAGGTGGGTACCTACCTATTCATTTTAGGTTTCGATAGGGTTACAATGCCAATTCTTATACATAGCTAATTGGTATTAGATTTTACATGTATGACGCGCCTAATCTAAAGGTGTAAAATATGTATACGGAACAAAATGAAATAGAACTGCGAAAAAATATATTTGAGGATAAACAGTAAATTAGATAGACGATTAATACTCATTACGTGACTTGCTTCGATGGCGTTTAATGAATACATCTTTATGAACTACTAGCAATCCGCTCCGGCTTCGCACAGGTGTAATTCCGTAAGAATCATTTATATCTAATTGATATATATACCCGTGTGCAGCCGGGGTGGATCGCTAGTATAAAAATTAAAGTTTCATATTAATAATTAAAGTTTTAAATTTAAAAATTAATATTTAATGTACGTACGGAAATTAGTATCGTTTTAATAGACTAAATTATTAATAGACTATACGTAGGACGGTTTATTCAAACCGTGACATTTTTTTACATTGAGAATTTTTATTCCTGCCATAACTTCTAAACAAAAAGCTCGATCTGAATACTTTAAAGTGTAATTTATACGTAAATAATCAACCTTCATTATCAAACCATTTAAGTGAATACAAATTAATACCAGGACATCAATATTACCACTAATTGATTCCACCCGTACTTGAACTTAATTATGTTAACAATAACTGTTATTGTGATTTAACTATAATAGTTAGGCATATGTCTTCTCCTTTTTTGTGAGTAATCATGAGTACTATTAATATATAGAATACTATTTTATATCTCGTCAATAATTTTTACAGCGTACGTAAATTAACGATTTATACAGGTAGCATTTTGATGCCCTGAGTTACATTATTCCAATTTAGGTAGAAATCTCTAATTTTTATGAAAATATAATATAATCAATATTACTCGGCGAAGTATAGCTTTCTAACGGTAAAAGAATTTTTAAAATCAGTCGATTAGTTTTGAGTTAAATTATATAACAAATGAACAAAAACTCTAATTTTTCCTTTTTATAATATTAGTTTAAATAAACCGTGCCTTCTATTTACCTGTAACTTATTTATAGCTGACATGTATCATAAAAATTATATTAGGACATACTCTATACTCAACAATTGGTTTATGTGTATATGTGGCTGCTTTGTTTGCTTGTTTATTTAAGCTTTATTGTACATTCACATTTAATATAAACGTAATAATTTATAAAGTAAACGACAAGTTACAGGCTGATTTATTCCTCGACGGGGTTTCTTTCAGTCGACCTTGAGAACCCGAAAGGAGAAACTATCTATAGGGTTTATATGTAAAGTGAATATATAGTACGTATATGATGCATAAATAATATGATAAATAATCAAATTATAAAGCTATAAAATTAGTAACTGAATATATATAACTATTATACATGTAAGTAACTCAACTGTCAAGTGTACCGTAAAATCTTTTTGTTTGAGCTTTAAAAGTATGAACAGATTGCGCCATTCTGGTATTAGCCATTCATTTGGGAGGGAAATCCAAAGTCTAGCCGCTTGCATTGTAAAAAAATTATGCATGAATGCAAGTTGAGGTGTTGTATGGTACCGAAACGTCTAATAAACTGTTTTTTAAGAAATTAGTTTTTTATTTACTACGAAAGAATTTTAAACTTTTATTATATTTTCATTCTATTATGTAAAATGTAAAGTAAAAAAGTAAATATTGTTAACTATATGAAGCCTCATGGATAGATTAATTATAATTCTTTAGCTGTCATAATCGACGAATTGAGTTTCGCATGCGCCAAGAACTTGAGTGAAGTTAGCAACAGTAAATAGAGTCCATATTATCCTTAATCTATGGTATGTGGGCTTGCGTACCGTCTATCGGCTTGCATGCCGACCACTGGCGAAAACATCCGAACAGTGCCGAACCGGTCTCTCTCCGGGATTCACGTTTGCCGAGCCTCTACATTATTGACCATTTCCTGACATATTATTCGCAAAAACTCATACTGCCGATAATACTGCCCCAAATAATAAAACGACAAGTGAATAAGTAAACGCGATAGTGTTAAATACGAATAATAAAGTTGTACATTGTGTAACCAGAAATGCGTGTTGTAAACACACAGCTCTGTGACGCTGACGGATTACGTTAATTAACATATTAACTCTAATATACTACTGAAAACCCTGGAGACCGACCCATTGTGTGAGGTGAAATTACAAAGCATTGGTGCATTTTAACCGAACTGTACTATTGGAGTGTATAAATAATAAATAAATAAATAAAAAAAAAAATGCCGACAAATATACAAGAAAACATCGCCCTCCTAAATATGGTATCTTCAGATAATCTTGAAGACGATTTGAAGAGTGTTCAGCTACATTATCCTTCGGAAAGACGATTGCAAAGCGATGGCGCATGTGTAGAAGAGAGGGTGAGAACGTCTCGCGGGGACATTTTGGTTGCGGTCCGAGGAGATCGCAGTAAACGCGCCATACTGACGTACCATGACCTTGGCCTCAATTATGCCGCGAACTTCCAAGCATTCTTTAATTTTGTCGATATGAGAGCGATATTAGACAAATTCTGTATTTATCATGTCAATGCTCCTGGTCAAGAGGAAGGCGCTCCCGCATTACCCGAAGACTACACTTACCCAACAATGGATGCTCTGGCCTCTCAAATTGATTTCATACTTGGGCATTTCGGTATAAGATCCTTCATCGGTTTCGGAGTGGGTGCAGGCGCTAACATTTTGGCCCGCTACGCTATTGCTAACCCTCAAAGAGTTGATGCTTTAGCACTGATTAATTGCACATCCACCCAGGCTGGGTGGACAGAATGGCTGTACCAGAAAATTAATACTCGACAACTTCGATCCAGTGGGATGACTCAGGGCGCTCTTGACTATCTCATGTGGCACCACTTTGGCCGAAGCACTGAAGATCGCAACCATGACCTTGCACAAGTATACAAAGATTGTTTTTCTCACGTAAATCCGATTAATTTGTCGATGTTTATCGATTCGTTCATTCGTCGTAGCGATTTGGGAATATCTCGTGAGAACAATTCCATTAAAGTACCGGTTTTGAATGTGACAGCTGCTTTGTCGCCACATGTTGATGATACTGTAACCTTTAACGGTCGCTTGGATCCCACTAAGACGTCGTGGCTAAGCATTTCTGATTGCGGAATGGTATTGGAGGAGCAGCCCAGTAAAATAGCAGAGGCTTTCAGACTGTTTCTGCAGGGCGAGGGTTATTGCAGGTAGTCATATTGCCCCAGACAACGAACCGTGCGCAGCGCTGCTACTCATAGAATGCACTGATGCTTACACGCGAGCTTTAACGACACTGTTGTTTGTAGTCACGTTGATGACGTAGAGAAAAATGTTGTTCCTTGTTTTTAGATATTTATGGGAATAAATTTATTTTACGGCTTACTTAATCTTTTTTTATTTTAATGATAGACACAGATAATAAAACAGTTTTTTGATCACTGGATGCACGGATTATGAAGTATCTTATGGAAAAAATCCCGTTATTATTATTATCATCCTATGAGACTTTTTTTTAATAACTATGAATAATCTGATAACATACATGATGGATAGTGGTTACCATAGCCTATAGATTGAACAGCATCGCTACCATACCATTATCTAATTTACGGTAATATTAATTAATTTTAGACTGATTAAAATTAAAGGTATATACATCAATATTTAATATGGGATTTTGTAAACATGGGACACAAAAATTCGATTCTCATTCGCATTAATAAAATTTTCAAAGTTAATTGATGTCTGGGTATTCTGAGATAAATTTCTTTCAATAGATGTGTATACCACATCTATCTATTTTTTAAACAACTTTAAAATACCCGTAGAAATGCTCTGTTCTTCTATAGAGCCTGTATTTTTAGTACTTATACTTATGGTACACTAAGTACTTATTTGCCAGTTTCTAACTGATTTTGTAAATACTTTTCGGAATCAATAAAATTTACTCGTATTAATCTAACATTGGCCGTGTGGTCCCGGCATAGAATAGGCCACCCTTCCTTTCTCGTGAGTGCAGTAAGAGCCGACTAAGGGAGGGCGAGGGATGGGCAGCAACGTCCTTCTTAAAACGTTTCTAAATCCCTGACTGCGGTTGTCTGCCTGCCAAGTGTGGCAACTGTGGCAAAACCCCCCAAAGGGTAAGCTTATGTTCAGCAGTGGACAGTTAAAGGCTGATATGATGAATCCAACATTAATACTCATATTGACACGATTAAAATTGTCCCTTTTTTGTTAATTTTATTATTAGTACAAGATATTCTGATTAGTTGAAAGTAAAGTTTGCGTCTAAAGAGATATATGCCCTTTTCTTTAAAATAATAAATTACGGACATAATAAAATACTCATTAAATGCGAACTCAATTTGTTTGTGGCTGTTCCATATTTTATAGTAGATACCAACTTCACTGTTGTGGTAGGTAAGTTCGTATACCTAGTCATTTATTAAACTGGTAGCGGCTTGAACTTTTGTTTATTCTACGGCAGGGCCGAATAAAGTACGAAATATACGTACAATAGATTACACTATTACTCTATAAAATGTTGCACGCACGCATCCTTTCAAACAAAGCGTATTAAGATTTTGAAGTATTTATGTTTTCGTTAATATAACTATTATTTTGTTAGCATATATCTTGTGTATATAGTTTACTGGCGACCTGCCCCGGCTTTGCATGGCTTTTTTTTTATTAAAATACTGCTCCTATTACTTGCTGATAACGGGGTCGATTCTAAAGCGACATTTCCCTAAATCTATCTTTGAAATAAAAATTTGAGCTTGATATCACAGAAAAATCTTTATTCTTAGAATCAATATGAATTAAATTTCTTAATAGACGATGATCTATAAAATAGTAATGTATGATTACCATCAAATTAAAATATTGGATTAAGAGAGAGGTTTTGAAAAACGACACCTCAGAATCGATCCCAAACTAGCTTGCTACAGATGAAAGAATTTTTAAAATTGATTTAGTAGTTTTTGAGTTGACCCATTACAAAAAAATGTAGGTACTAAAAATCTTACTTCTTTATAAGTTTAGATTGTATTCAATTTGCAAACACTTTACTTCGTTTGTCAAGTAGCCTGCAAATTGTATGTGCTTTAAACTATATTAGACAATTTACTTACTACATTGTTATCGTATATAAAATCGTGATTGTTTAAAATTTTAAATATTTGATTTTGTTTTATGAGAATTTTATAACAAAATTACACATTTTACATCCACCACTTGAAATACTTTTTTTGAATATATTTATAAAATATATTTAAGGAATTAAAATACCTTTTATAAATTAATCAACAAATGCCTCTGGCTATCTCATTATCGTAATTATAGACGTGAGCATATTTATTTATTTTTGTTTAAACATATTTTGTAATTAAAATTGTGTCCATATTTTTTAATAGCAATACGCACGAACAGCCACTGGGAACTGAAACAAAGCCAATGTAATTTCCCACTAATTTCCATATTCAATGATATTAAATTTAAGTCTGAAATAATCCAAATTGAATTTCAGGACCGTAGATTTATGGACCGTTTTCAATTAACTTCAATTTAAATGATCTCTTCATTTGTTTGTTTTTTTTTATGAGTGACACAGGTAAGTATATAATAAGCATGATGGTTGGGCATCACAGTATATCCCGTGTTATTCTCGGGGCTGTTGATGTCTATGAGTGACTATTGCCTATTTTCCTTACCTTGATGTAACTTATTTACCTTTTTATGTTGCTTAAAATAATATTTTGTGTTACTACTAATGGCGATTTATTAGATAAGAACGTATATTGCAAGTACTAATGCCATTCTACATTTACTTTAAGCTTTTAAGAAAACTGATTTTTTGTAAGCTAAGCTGTAGTTATACATATATTGTTTTTTTAAAAAAAAAAAAAAACAATCACATGCATCGATAAAATGTTCAGACTTTGTACAACAGTCGATTGCTTTGGTACCTCTGTCCCATTCATGTTTCTACCGTGAAGCAGTTGTATTTGCATGGCTGTGTTTCGGTTTGAAGGGTGGGATATGGCGTGAATTTATAGGGTACAGAGGAATAACACCTGAGTCTTCAGGAACGGCAACGCATGGGGGGTATCATGGGCGAAACAGTATACTCTGTTATGCCCATGGTACTGCTCATGTCTATAGTTACCACTTTCCATCAGATGGGCCGTCAGCTTGTTTGCCATTCTAAGTTGTATAAAAAAAAAATTCACCACAAGCCTAACTGCGGTTGCCAACCCTTCTGCCAAACGTAAAAACTACTGGCAAAACCTCCCAGTATAGGAAGGCCTATGTTTAGCTGTAGATAGTGAACGTCATTAATTATACATATAATCATGTAAGTTGAGAAAACCTACTAATATACTTACTGATGTATTAATATAAAAGTGAGTTTGTTCGTTACTTGTTTGGCGCTTTAATGGCTTAACTAAATTAGGAAAGGAATTGTTAGTAATCGGGTCTTTTTTTTTTATAGGTGATAATGAAATAGTAACCCCACCCGTGCTATCGGTGTACACCGGCGAGGCACCAGTAAAGGATGATAGACGAGGATGAAACAGGTCAGTTAGCCTATCGTGACGAATTCAACGAGAATTGTTCATGATGGTTTCCAGGGGGAACTACGCGGAGGTTGACCTGATAGGGCTGATATTGCTAGCAATGGGGCTGTCAAACTCCATTGCTAACAATCCCTTCCCCCCAGTAATAGGCTCTAATATACCTTATCAGGTTGACCTTCACACGGTTCCCCCTGGAAACCATCATGGTTAATTCTTGTGGAATTCGTCACGATGGGCTAACTGACCTACTTTCATCCTCACTTATCATCTATAACTGGTGCCCCAGTAGCGTATACCGGTAGCGCAGGTGGGGTTACCATTCCAATATCATTCATACGAAAATGGCTTAACTAATACATATAACTAATATATAACATATCTGTTTATTTAATAACTTACCTCGAATTATTCAACATGCTGGATATTTATTTATTTATAGTCTTTTTATACATGCGCAGCACCGGCGTATGTAATACACCGCAATAGATACGACCTCGCCGCACCGCACCGCTGAAGGCCACCGCGCGATTGACAAATTTGAACTGGATGTACCTTTAGACTTTATGGCGACGTCGTGTATGTATAAATCGTCTAAGCATTGACTCATCATCATCATCATCATACCAGTCATTATCTGTCCACTGTTCAATATAAGGTTCCCCTTCACATTGTCCCATTAACGTTAGCAACAACCCCGTTCCTCATGACAGTTTAGCAGTGAGGTGAATTTGCCAGTAGTTGCTAATATTGGCAAGCGGGTTGACCACAGCAGTTTGGCTTTTGGTGATGTTTTAAGAAAAATGCTGTAGCCCATCTCTCGAGCACTGAATTCCCTTATTCGCCTCTCTCGAAAACCACGTGACAGAAAGAGGAGGCGGGGGTTGGGCCACACAGCAAAAATTTTGTTAGTAAGGAAAAACACATTATAGTAGTATTACGAGGAACTATAAACATATTGGACCAGTGCCATTAATAGGATTCCTTTCCATTCATTTGTTGTTGTCATTACAGAAAATATCTAGACACTAGATATAAATATAAATATAATATAAATATATACGGACAAATCACACAGATTGAGCTAGCCCCAAAGTAAGTTCGAGACTTGTGTTATGGGATACTAACTCAACGATACTATATTTATAATAGATACATATATAGATAAACATCCAAGACCCAGGACAATCAGGAAAAGATCGTTTTCTATCATGACCTGGCCGGGGATCGAACCCGGGGCCTCCACGTCGCAGGCAGGCGTGTTGACCGCTGCGCCATGGAGGACGACAAAAGATACTCTTCTTCAATACGATGTTTACAGGAAGACAAAGTACTGAGCTGTATTGAGTGTATTTTTTTAAACGACTTAGAATGGCAAACAAGCTGACGGCCCACCTGATGGAAAGTGGTAACCGTCGCCATGAGCAGACATGAGCAGTACCATGGACATAACAGTACACACACATACTGCTTTGCCCATGATACCCTCCATGCGTTGCCATTCCTGAGGACTTAGGTGTTATTCCTCTGTATCTGTAAATTCACGCCATATCCCACCCTTCAAACCGAAACACAGCCATGCAAACACAACTGCTTTACGGTTGAAACATGAATGGGACAGAGGTACCCAAGCAATCGAATTTTGTACAAAGTCTCCCTCTGGTAAAGGTATACATTTACTCTGAAAATGTAAACAAAACAGTAATGGAGACCATTAAAAGATCGTCTAACAACAATAATGGTGACAATAATAGAAAATCTTTTTTTTGCGGGTAGCTACGCAACGCCTAACACGAAAAAATACGTGTCTCACTTTTAATAATTATTATAATTAATATCAACTATTTGTTTCATAAGTTTTCATATGAATTTATAATCGGACTGTGATATCTACCTGCTGATCTATTATCTCCTCTCGTTTCTGCACTGATTTTATTATTATGGAAGCACTACACACTACAATGGCAGCATTGATGGAGCATTTCAATAAGAAAATGGCCGAGTTTCAAAATGAACTGCAAACTCAAAAGGAAAGTACCACTCCTACCACTATTTCTTCACTGGAATCTAATTTTAAGGTATTCCAAAAGTTTGTCAACATTGCACTTACTAGCCTCCAGCAGCAGATGGAATTGCTTACTCGCCAACAAGATCAGATGGAGATGCGTAGTCGACGTAAAATGCTGTTATTCCATGGTATTCCTGAGTCTCAAAGAGAATCTGTTTCTCAAGTGATATCAAAGATCATTGTGGAGAAACTTGACATCAGTGACTTCTCTGCTGACCAAATTGGCCAATCTCGTCGATTAGGTCTTTTTAAAAAAGAAAAATCACGACCTATCTTAGTAAAATTTAGAGACTTGGAGATGAGGAATGAAGTGTGGTATTCTAAAACGAAGCTCAAAGGTTGTGGCATCACTGTGTCGGAATTCTTAACGGCAGTGAGACACGAAGCCTTTTTAGCTGCTAGACAACACTTCGGCATAAAAAAATGCTGGACTCATGATGGAGTTGTTATCATCACTGGTACAGATGGAACGAGGCATCGCATAACTTCTATGAGTGAGATAAATAAACTAGTGAACTCGTCGCAAAGTTTGGCTGCAGAAGCTTCATCAAACCAGAGTACATCCACATGTTCCACGGTTCCTGCGTCTCGAGCAAAGCGCGTAAAAAAGTAGTGATTGCTCAAGCATAATTTACAAACTTTACCTACATTACTGCTTTGCGTTATTAGTTACAATTAAATTATGCACTTGAAAAGAGATCTTGCCTTACAGAGTACCTACTTTAAATTGTTTAATAAGTGTTCTACCCACGTTTGTGTTATTTTATTTTGTGATGTCATTTTATTGTAAAGGATGGTAGATCAAAATTTCTTGTTTACAATTGTTATAACTGTATTGTCATTTCATTCTATCATCACGTGTATTGTAAATGACAGTTTTGTTATATTTCTTTGTAGGATCTTTTTTATAGTGACTTCGCATCTTGTGTATTTGCTAAACGCAAAGCATTAAGCTGTAATTAAGAGTTATTACATTTTATACTTATTAAGAGCAGACAAAAATCCATACCCATACAGTCGACTGTAGTATATTTAATTTTTATTATTAATTTTTATTTCTCCTTCATATCTTTATTTCTTTTTCTTTTTTTTATACATTAATTTTTGCTACCATTTTATAATCATATAGCCATGTCTGATATTTTTGTAATTAGATATCTTCGCTCTTATATTATACTACTATTGTTCACAATTTCCCTTACGTTCATTGCTGTTTATTACAGTATATGTATGATGTGTACATATATATGTGTGTGTGTGTGTGTACATATGTATGTATGTGTGTGTGTATGTGTGTATGTATGCATGTGATCATATGTATACAGTTAAATGGCTTGTTGTTATCAATGCAGACATTAATATTATTACTATTCTTTTTTTTATATCTTAGTTTCTTTTTAGATTGGATCCATGTTTTATTTACATATGAATTTTAAACTTAATAAGCTATTATACTGGCAGGTAGATATCAGAATTAAAAGGATTATTTAAATTTATACACCTATAAATATTATTAATTATTATTTAATTTTATAATATCTTATTTATATGTTTGATCAAGGTAATTGCTCTTTTTCTTCTTGTTTATCGTCATCTAGTTATGATTCTACTTTCAGTGACCCTATCCCTCTAAATGAGATTTTAAAATGGAATTTTGACAGCACACATAAGAACTTCAATATAGTTCATATTAACGCACAAAGTATTCCAGCCCACTACCCGGATCTACTTGCATCTTTTGACGTCAATAATGTACATGCTATTCTAGTCTCGGAATCCTGGCTGAAACCATGTCTGTCATCTGCCTCATACGATTTGCCTGGTTTTAATCTTATTCGTAATGACCGAGCATTGGCAGGTGGCGGTGGAGTCGCAATTTATCTTCGCGTTAATTTTGCTTACAAGATTATAAATTGTTCTAATAATTCCAATGCTTCTTATGATCCTGAATTCCTATTTATCGATGTCAATCTTTCACATTCTAAAGTTCTTCTTGGCGTATTTTATAGTCCTTCCTCTTCTATCGATTATTTTGATTCTCTTGAAAATACCCTAGAAAACTTAATTCCATCCTATAATCACACCATTATTATGGGTGATTTTAACACATGTCTCCTGAAAGATGACTTCCGCGCAAAACGTCTCACCTCTCTTGCTGTCTCTTGTAACCTCCATATCCTACCTCTTCAGCCAACGCACTTTTTCCCCAATAGTAATCCTTCCCTGTTAGATCTTATGTTTGTTTCGTCCTCTGATCTTGTCGCTAGGCATGGTCAGTGTCCTGCAGATGCCTTTTCATACCACAATTTAATTTACCTTTCTTACAAAATTCGCCCGCCTAAACCTAAGCGTAGAGTGGTAATGCAGCGCAGTTTTGGTACCATGAACTTGGAGCAGTTGCGAACTGATGCTGCCGCATGCAACTGGTCAACGATTGGTAGCCAGAACTCAGTTGATGAGCAAGTCAAATTGTTCAACTCCTTTCTCCTAGAGTTATACGATCGTCATGCTCCTGTTCGTCCGGTGCGTCTCAAGCATATTCCTGCTCCCTGGCTAACTGATGATATTAAAGCTCTTCAGGCTAAAAAAAACAAGGCAAAAACGAAATTTAAATTAAACCCTGATAAATATCGCGACCATTACATTAGAGCTAGGAATCTCTGTAATAGAGCATGTAGGGAGGCTCAACGTCGCCACATCCATACATCTGTCGAAAACGAAGACCCAGCTAAAGTCTGGAGGTTTCTCAAATCACTTGGAGTTGGAAAAACTCAAAGCTCTCATAATAATAATACTGACATTGAAAGTCTTAATAGACATTTCTGCTCTTCTGTCGATTTCAATATCAAAGACAAAACTAGTACATTAAATTCTCTTTCATCTTTTCCAACTCCTAATATAACTCCTTTTTCATTTAATCAATTTTCCGATTGTGATGTTAGGAGAAACATACTGGCTATTACGTCGAATGCCACTGGAAATGACAGCGTTAGTCGTAACATGATTATCCCTATCCTTGATATTATCCTTCCCACTATTACTTCCCTCCTTAATAATTCTGTTTCCTGTAGTGTCTTTCCTACTGTATGGAAAGATGCTAATGTAATACCTCTCTCCAAAAATAATAAACCATTGACTTTCTCTGACTATCGCCCTATTTCTATACTCCCTTTTCTGTCCAAAGTTTTAGAACGCCTTGTGCATCATCAGATTTATACCTTTCTTTTGCGAAATTGTCTCCTAAATCCTTTTCAATCAGGTTTTCGCCCAGGTCATAGTACGACTACCGCTCTCATCAAAATATCTGATGACATTCGGCTTGGCATGGACAAGTCGCAATTGACGGTGTTGACATTACTGGATTTTAGTAATGCCTTCAACACCGTGGATTTTGACATTTTACTCGCCATTTTACGTTCTCTTAACATATCTCCAACGGCTATTGATTGGTTTCGTTCTTACCTGTCTGGGCGTCGGCAGCGTATTCGTATTGAGGATATTAACTCTTCTTGGTGCAACACGACTGCTGGCGTTCCTCAGGGTGGCGTATTATCTCCTCTTCTTTTCGCATTATTTATCAATTCCATTACACATAATCTTCGATCTTCCTACCATCTCTATGCAGACGATCTCCAAATTTACTCTCAAGCCAGTTTTAGTAATATCACTGATGCAATTTGTATCATTAATGAAGACCTTTCCCGTATATCAGACTGGAGCAAAGCTTACGGCCTCACCGTAAATCCATCAAAAACGCAATGTATTATTATCGGTAGCCCTCATTATATATCTAAATTAAATTCAATTAATCTTCCACCAGTAGTTTTTAACGGTCAAGTAATTAAATATAGTACTAGTGTGAAAAATCTCGGAATACATTTTGATCAAACACTGACCTGGTCTTATCAAATATCTGATACGCTGATTCCTGTTATGTTAATCTTACAGAAGATCAATTAAATAAACTTGAGCGACTTCAGAACATATGTATACGGTTTATATTTAATCTTCGCAAATATGACCACATTTCTGATTTCCGCAATCAACTCAAGTGGCTTCCAATTCGCCTTCGCAGGAACTGGCACATCCTATCTCTTCTTTACACTATTCTTTTTCATCCTTCAACTCCCGATTACCTCAAAATGTGCTTTGAGTTTCATGTCGATTCTCAGGGTCGTACATTGCGCAGCGCGAGATCCTTTCGTTTAGTAACCCCTATTCATTCTTCTAAATTCTATTCCTATTCTTTCACTATAAAAGCTATCCGTCTCTGGAACTCCTTACCTCTTTCTATTAGATCAGCGCAATCTCTTGCCTCGTTCAAGAGGCAGGTAAAATCTCATTTCCTATCTCTCTAATTTGCTTTGACGTTTACTATGTGTGATTTATCTTGATCTATTTAGTATATTTATGTTTATGTATTATTATTTATATTATATATATGTATGTTTATGTATTATTATTTATATTATATATGTATGTTTATGTATTATTATTTTTATTATATATGTATGTTTATTTAGGTTATGTAATCTTATTTTTATATTTAGAATTTTTTGCATTTTGTCTGATTCCTTTTATGCATTTACTGTGTCTGATTTGCGCCATCTACCTTTCTCTCTGTACTTATCCATTCTTTATGCCAGGTTGTCTGTAAGAGATTGCTTGTAGCGATAAGGCCGCCTTTTGTATATGCACGTTCTGTATAAATACTCCTTGTATACATCTTTACTGTGCGCAATAAAGAGTTTATTATTATTATTATTATTATTAAAATCTCTTAATTGGTTGATAATTGTACCAGCCAAATACGCATTACAGTTAGTCAAGTATAATGCGTATTATCTGTAGATAATGTAAAGACTAGCCCATTCATAAAAAGATCAAACGTGTCATAAACCTATTTTAGCTATTAAACTGTTATTGTCTCTTTTTTTTAGTCAAATTTCCAATTTGAAAGAAAGTGACAAAACTTTGCATTGTTAATAAACCTACAAACCATTATTAACTATGCAGAGTTTTGTTGTTTTTATGAGTAAGGAGAATAAAAAGTTGGGAACAAAAAGACCACTTGTCCTTTTGTAATTTATTCCTAAAATATCATGAATATTAATTAATAATTTTAATATTACTATATGTAATGGTCAAGAGATGTGCAGCAGTGTTTTCCTTAAAACATCATCAATGCCCGACTGTTATTGCCAACCCGCTTTCAAAGTATGACAACTATTGACAAAAACGGGAGGTAAGCTCTTATGGGGGAGGCCCATGTTTTTTTTTATTTTTTTTTTATACAACTTAGAATGGCAAACAAGCTGACGGCCCACCTGATGGAAAGTGGTAACCGTTGCCTATAGACATGAGCAGTACCATGGACATAACAGAGTATACTGTTTCGCCCATGATACTCCCCATGCGTTGCCACTCCTGAGGACTCAGGTGTTATTCCTCTGTACCCAGTAAATTCACGCCATATCCCACCCTTCAAACCGAAACACAGTCATGCCAACACAACTGCTTCACGGTTGAAACACGCATGGGACAGAGGTACCCAAGCAATCGACTTTTGTACAAAGTCTCCCTCTGGTAACATGTTCAGCAGTGGACAGTTAACGCTGATATAATAATAATCTTAATATTGTAAAACCTGTTCAACTAACTTCAAACACGATGAGGGTGTGAAGTGGGTTGCGACGAAGATCCTGCGTTTGCCAGGACAAAGAAAAAAATTTGTGTAGAAAGTACATATAAGAAGAACATTATCTGCTTCAATATACCATTTACTTCGTACGCGATGATTTAAAAAATAGCAAAAATAATACTGTAGATGACGTATCAACACAAAATGTATACCTACCAGATTTTAAGTTAAAGATTCAGAAATACATCTGATAAAATCGCATCCAATTTAGTGCAGTAGTTTTTACGTGATGACAGAATAAACATACAGACGGACAGACAGATAAAATTTCTAAAAAATAT